TAGAACCTCTACGAACAGTGTGAAAATAGTTGAAATCGGGTGGCAACTCCGCCCACTCCCCATATAACGGTACTGTTAAAAACTACTAAAAGCGCGATAAATCAAGCCCTAAACACGCCAGAGACATTAAATTTTATCTCTGGGATGGTATGAGATGACTTTATAGGAGCCGCGTTCAAAATTAGTCAGTGGGCGTGGCACCGCCCACTTTTAGAAGAAAACCCATATCTTGAGATCTGCTTCACCAATTTCAACAAAACTCGGTACATTACGTTATTTTCATATTTCTAAGGGTTAGTGCGAAAATGGGCGAAATCAGACTACAACCAGGCCTATTTCCCATCTAACACCATTTTCAATTCCATATGATTCTTTCACTTTCCACTATGCATATCAAGCAACAATGATTATATCGGGGTAAAACTTTGCGTGAATAATACGTTTAAAGTATGCCACCTTGTGACCAAAAATTGTCTAAATCGAACCAAAACTGTTCAAACCCCTAAGTACTAAATATGTGGACCCCAGTGCCTATAGTTGACCTTCTACCGAAAATATCAGCCATTCCACAAAGAAATCTCAAACGAGTATACCATTTGACTTTGCGAGAGTATAAAATGTTCGGTTACATCCGAACTTAGCCCTTCCTTGCTTTTTTTTTTATTGTTTTGTTACTCTTTTTTTTGTATAAGTATATATGTTTGTGTTACTGCACTGCACAGCACTATATGTGTTTGTTTCTCACATAAGTCATCAAATATATAATAATTTATTTGTTTTTTTTCACTCCATAGTGCCGCTCACTATGGCTCCAAGGACCAATAAATAATTGTTTCGCTTGCGCACTCACGTTTTGCACTTATTTGCACCAATTTAATTAAAAAATTAAAAACGGATACGGCTAATGAAAGGCTTGTTGAAAAAACACGGGCGGAAACTTGCGTACGTCTGGTCGATTCGATTCGCTAACGAAAAAGAGACCATCTGGTCCTCTGTTAGTCCCTTTTGAGTGTTGGGTTGTGGTGTGATGTGATGTGTATGTGTGGGTGGTCTGAGTGTTGTGATGTCTTGTTGTGGATCGTGTTGATGTGGTGTGTTGACGCGCAGTGGCGTGTGTGCAGGGGGGAGGCGTAACTCATCTAGCCAATAGGTTCGTATCTTAACTGCTGGTAGCTGCTAGCTATTAGAGAGAAGATAATTGACAGTTTTTTTCACGAAGAATATATAAATGCTCCATTAATCTTTGTAAAAATGTTCCATTTTTAAAATAACAAAAGAACAAAAAATGGACACTAACCAGAGACCGTAATCATTATACGTCACGGAATAATAATTACATATTGAGTCTTATTTACTTCACCGATAATGATTAATTTTGATTATTATTATAATAAATGGTAAATCATTATTTTTGAGCGAAAAAATTAAAAAATAATCATGATTGTTTGTGATTGTTACTTTTTTTGCTCAAAAATAATGGTTTTATATGATTTATTAAAAAATCAATCAAAATTAATAATTATTAATGAAAAAGTTATAAAAATCCGAAATTAAAAAATCATCACCGAAATGCTGAGATCGGCTAAAAAGGATTAACATTACGTCATCTGTTTTTTTATGTCAATTTAAACTGATTGATTTATTTAAAAATCGAACAATAGCCATTATTTTCGGTCCCTGCAACTAACTCATTCGGAATTTTCAGTATTGAGCTTAACAATATTGATTGATTCAAAATATTTTGTAGAAAAAGTTTATTAAAAAACATAATTATCAAAAACGATAAATAAACATCCGAAGGGCGGGAAATGCTGCACTTTTTTCTGGTTAGAAGGCAACATTTTTCCTATCAAACGAACCTGAAAAAAGTATTAAAAAAGAACACGCAAATTTGACAGTCCGAGCATAGAGATCAGAATAAATGCAAAATTTTTGTCAGAAAAGAAAACTCGATTACCAGTAAGATGGGCCGGTATATTGGTCAATATGTGTATGTAAGATATCTTAGCAAAATTAGGTGTACGTATAATACTGTATATAATATGGTTATATGCCGAAAATGTGTAAAATCGGTTCACGAATTACTCCAGCTTATATTAATATAGTCCATATCTATCATATTTTTCGTTATTCCAGTCTTTATCCTAAATATTTCGGGTTAACTTCATTAAATTGCGAGGAAACATCTTCTGTTCTCGAGTACATGTACTTGAGTAATGCCAAAAGTTAATGCAATCACTCTTTCCTCATATTCCCCGTGTGTTAAATTTAGCCTTTTGTTATTCAGTTTTTATAACATAGGTATATCTCATTTGAGTCAGCTAGGTTGATTTAAATAAAAACATTTTGGTCACGAAGCAATATGTAGTAATAAAACTTATTGAGTCTATAATATATAATGTAATCCATTTACTATTTCGTATGACCGTTAATTTATTTCTTTTTGTCAACACATGAGGTATTTCCTTTACTTTAATCTTTGCAAGTTGCTAGAGTATAACATGTCCGGTTACACCCAAACTTAGCCATTCCTTACTTGTTATTTATATCAATTATTATTTATTATATTGTATTTATGGTATATTCTTTAGTGCTATGGGAAGCTACAATGGTAATGTACCCATATAAATAATTTTTAATATCGAATGACAATAATAACACAGTCGGTGCTCAACATTGGGTACCTTCGGAAGCCATACCACAGCTGGGCGGTATACTGTGAAAAGTCTTAAGGCCTACTATTGGATACTCACTTCCCGGGCAGTTCTTAAAATCATACAGTGGAGTACGCACAATACAGTGCAGTAGAGGTATATTCCATACCTGTAAATATAGTTTCCGTGGGAAATGTATATTGGACGATAAGCAGTTTCCAGCACTTCAAATCGCCGAGACCTGACGGTATATTACCGTCTCAATTACAGCGGTTCCAGAGCTACATAAAAGTCTGGTTAGCAACCATTCTTAAAGGGGCGTTGCAGTTATATATTTACCAAAGGCGGGTAAAAGCTCTCATACAAGTCCAAAGGTATTCAGGCCAATTAGTCTTTCTCATTCATTCTTTAAACATTGGGAACCTTAATATATATACACCTAAGGAACAAATTAACCCCAGAAAAACCCCAGTTTGGTAACATGCGTATTCTTAAGGAAAATCCACAGAGACAGTACCATGTAGCTGATATTAAAAAATCTTTGGAGGTAAAAGAATCATACGCCCTCCTAGCGTTCCTTGACATAGTTAGAAAGCGCTTTTACTAACATCCAGCCTAAGGCCATACCGGGTGAGCTTGATTGAACATTTGCTCTTAGGCAGATCAATAATTTGAACGCTGGAAGTTTCAACGATATGCAGATCTGTTCAAAGAGGTACACCTCAAGTAGGCGTGTTATCTCCACTTCTCTGGATAATAAGGGGCATTCTATGGTTCTTAGCAAGTTTCCCTTTCTACCCAATACTACGGATTTATGAAATTCTATAGAATTAAACTTGAATTCGGTCCCCAATATTGACTTCCCTTTCATAGAAGAGTTGGAAAGGGGCGAGGTGGACAGGGACACAGGGATAAGCATCTATACGGATGGGTCTAAACTAGATTATCGAGTGGGAGGTCTTTTCAGCAGAATTAGATACCACGAGCGCCCACTACAGTGTCTTCCGATTCGGAAAAATGTATACAACTTAGGTGGTACAGCAAAATCGAAACTGTTTCTGGAATAGCGTTAAAGTAAGATATAAGATGCTAGGATTCGAGCCAATGAACGACAGATTACTTAAACTGCGCTGCAAAGAGCCTTTTAACAACCTAACGTTAATATCAGCATAGGCGCCTACCGATGATGCTAGTGAAGTTGAGAAGGACTTATTCTTCACGAAACTGGAAGACGTGACTATAGCTAATGGAACTTTTGATTCACTTCAAACCTTTTTTGACATACGGACATACTATTATCAGAAAGAATTTTTAACGAATTTCAATAATATACTTCACCGATTTACCTATGGTTTCAGAAAAAAGTTTGAAATAGTAACAAATAGGAAGGGTCCACATATCCGGTAGGTGGGAGCTTGAATAATTTTAGTCCGATATTAACACTTTTTGGTAATACTGTGGCTTAAAGGCTCTATTCGTGAAAAGTTTTATCCCGGTACATACATCTGTGCTTTATTCGTATACTCGAAAGTGAAAAAAACAAAAGCAATTAGAAATTGTGTTATATTGTATATGGGACGAGGCGTGGTTGTTGTCCGATTTCTTCCATTTACGCTCTGTGACATAGAAATGTACATACATATATACCTATCTGGATTAGTTTAAGGTGAAACAGGTACAAATTTTTCGTTCTCAAGAAATATACTCGCGAATGCCTGCTAGCTGGTGATTTCACTACAGATTTTAATAAATTGGAATCTGCTCCACTTCTTTGGGAAGTTTTTAACCTTGAAATTAAAAATTAAAGAAATATACCATCTACAAAATATAGTAGTACGATTGATACAGTTTTTACTAGCTACATTAAAAATTCGAAATTGGTGTACCTTATTTATTGAATGAAAAAATAAATAACTTAGAATCGAATAGAAAAAACCTTAACTATAGTTGCCCCGAAGCAATAATATATATAGGTATAATAATAACTTGAATCCGATCGCTCAATTTGCATGTCAGCTATAGAGATCTGATCTAAATTTCTGATTTCTTCGGAAAATACATTGTTGCCTTAGAAAATAACTCATGCCTAATTTCGTGAAGATACCTCGTCAAATAAAAAAGTTTCCCATACAAGCACTCGATTCCGATTGTTTGTATTACAGCTATATGATATAGGTCTCTGATCTGATTTTCTGATTTCTTCGGAGAATACATTGTTGGCTTAAATAATAACTCATGCCAAATTTCGTAAGCTGCAGTGCTGCGAAAAAATTTTAATTATGATTTGGGATGAGATGACAGAATAGTGCAGGATATTTATCGGCAACGATAAACTTTTCGGACCACAGTCTGGGGATTTCCGGCAGACCTTGTCGGTCATTTCTTGCCTACTTTTTATGGCATTCTTCAATTGATCATAAATATTCGCTTTATGATTGTGTCAAGTCACTTTAATACAAGTACAACAGTGATGATAATGACGACAACCTGTAAAAAAACTAATTCGGGGTTTTACTTTGAACATGCGTATATTATCAACCAAACTCATTTTTTTCTAACTAAGGAATTTGTGTGAGTGAGTAAACATAAACATTTTGTGTATTTGACAATTGCAAAGTGATCAAATACATTAAACACCCAGAAAATTTCTGCACTATTGTTCTCGCAATAATACATAAATTAATGGAAAGTATTTTCCCGGACAAACTAAATAATTACTTGAATTTATTGGATCTATTAATGGGGAAAATGAAGATGTTGACGAAATTATTTCCCAGATAAAGCAATTTTTGTCAGGAGATTTGATGTTTTTTAAATCAATCGCTACAGTTTTTGATCAAAATGAAAGTGTAAATTTTCCAATTGAATTTCTAAAGATATACCCGGAACGTCACCACGTAATTTTCGGTTAAAGATTGTTTCGCCTACGAAATTTGAATCCACTTCTATGGTTATAAAAAAGATCACTGAAAATATTACACTACTTAACAAATTTTAAACTTCTTTTGTCACATGAAAACTCATATCACATTTTAAATGAACTAGGGTCAATAAACAATATTATGTGAATGAAAAAAAATTGACACGTCAGGTTTTCTTGTGACATTAAAACATATAGTTTTTTAAAAAGTGCAAACATTAGCTACATTTTGAGAAATTATTGCTTGATAAAGAAAAATGTTTATGACTTTTGTGAATATTTGGTTTCTGGAAGGTCTTTTTCAAGTCTCCAACAATAGCAGAGCTAGCATTCCGACGCTCCATTTCCCTTGCTAGCGCTTCTCCATATAAGAAATGTCCTGATGGAACCTCTCGTCTTGTTCGTCACTCACAACACATAGATTTAATAGAAATATTTGGACAACGTTCACACAAAAATTTCCAGGCGAGTTTTTCCTGATATTTCAATTTTTCTTCAAATCTCTTATCTTTTATCAGTTGCACTATTTCAGCACCTACAAATATTCCCTCTTTAATTTTTGCTTCGCCGAGTTTCAGCAGCATTTCTCTTTCAGATAAACAAATTCAGAATCCTAAGCAGCACACACTGTTCGGCACTATGTAGTATAGGTCTGTTGGCTGAAGACAAGTTTGGATACTGGGTAGAGTGTTTGGACTTGGTTCTAATATTTTTTGCTTGGGTTCTTGTTTAGTCCAACCTAATAGCAGTCTCACACAGGTTATCCAAAATTGTCTAAATAGTACTGTTCAATTAATGACGACGCTGAAATTTAAATGTTAATATACCCACACGTAACAAAAACTGTCCGGGTCGTTAGAAGACTTTCGTGGCATGTTTGCGATGTAACAAACGTGGATATGATGTAAGTTAGTCCAATGCAGTACTTATACAGTCGCATAAATGAGGTTATTTAAAAAACACACGTGTATGAGATCAGAAATAAATATGTAGCTGTCACACAAAATCTGGACGTGATTGTAATAAAATTATGATATACTGTTAATTAGGGTACACCAACATAAACAAAAATCATCACAAAGTTCATGTCACAAAAACAGTGTTAACCAGTGTTATTGGAGCAAACATTTTGACTGGAAAGTTTAAATGAAAAATGGTTCTGTTACCACCTAATCCAGTGAAATCTTTATAATTTACGATTCGATTCAGACGGTTGCAGTTAGCTATTCTTTTAGCTCTATAAAAATGTCGATTAGTTATTATCAAATTTCAACCTTAAGTTCAAATCCCAACGCAGTGGATTCTTATATCGATGACAACGTTTTAGTTTTTATTTGTAAAGAATATTTTCAATGTGTTGAGTAGTTTACCACAATATAATTTTACTTATACTTTCGTCGCAGCAACGCGAGGATGGGTCTGTAAGTATTCATATATAAATAAAAAAAAATTATTTATACAAGTTCTTGTGATTTTTATTTCTTTCAAATCTTGCTATCAAAGTAGAACACTACAATTATTTGATGTTGTTAATGTTCGAAATTAAAAATTTCAATGTGTATTCAAAATAAATTTTCATATACATAATTAATTATGACCTTAGTTATATATGCACGTGTGTATCTATATATATTTACAATAACTTTCGACACTTTACAATTTGTTTATTCAATTTCATGCTACGTAAATACAAAACTACTTATCTATGTACACCTAAATGTTTGGCAACAATTAAATTCGTTGCGTATTATGTATTTCTATTAATGAATTACTTTAAAGGAAGCATAAGAACCACGTCAATTATCCACAGGATCTATGGTTTGGTAAAGTACCGTCCTTAAATTTTACGGGATACATCTCGAAAATATAAATTCTGGAACAAGAAAATTTAAATATTTGAAGAACTTATGATTATTTGCCGAGAATACTCGAAAAAATATGTTTATGTTCAAATACAAATGTTTGTATATGTGCAAATTATTTAAAACAGACTGTTTTTAATAATTGCCTGAATTTTAACTGTTATTACGAAACAACAGAGCGGATAAGTATGAAGGTATGGGGAACTTAAAACTGTATTTCGATTCCTCTTCAAAGGTGAATATCCTCTCAAATATTATGTTAGGAAATTGTTAACTTATTTGTCCACTCTATACACACTATTTAACACGAATTTTGGATAAAATATGGATTTAATTTTCATATTATCTTCACAAAATGTTGGTTCTGGGCTTAAACCGTCATCAATATTAAATTCTTTATTTTTGATTTAAAACAAATGTATAAGTTAGTAAAATTACTTCATTACTAGAGTACTAAAATTTTCTATATAACCAAGTTTATATATTATATTAAGCCAACTATAAGTGTAATTTGACATTTTTTACTGATACACTATGTAATTTGTAAGTGTCACTAAACAACAAAAAACCGATACATTACTCACAAATTTAGGAAGCAAAGTAATTGGTTGATACACTAGTTTAGGAAATATCCTAAACATAGAACGTAATTTGCTTTTGAAATCTAAATTGGTTTGATATAATCAACGGACATTAAATTTATCTTTTTCCGATTTTTGCATATGAAGACACATTTTATGTACGTTATCTTTTTTTTACTCCAAAAATTTTAGTATTATAGTAATTTTTTTTTTGCGGAGGTGTTGTACATCCATATTGCATCGCGTGCAAGATCCATCAATTCTGTTTGGAGCGTAGTAAAAATAGTGTGTTTAAAAATCCTGTGATTTTATCTGAATGTTGCTCGGCTAATTTTTGCATAACTTACATTTTTTCACAAGTCGATTGATAATTGTTTCATAATTTGATTTCACAGTTGGCACAAAATGTAAATACTATCTCAATAAAGCAGTTTTTGATTGTGTAATTTGTTATTGTAAGTGATTTTTGTTCTTACCTTCAATAAAAGAATTTAATTAACCCTGTTAAGTTTTTTAATGATTGGTCAAAATTGCGCTCGTTGATTACAATTTTTCTTCTCCAAGAATATGTATCATGGCTATGTGTTGTGGCAGAGCTACAGGTAAAAGTCTCCAGAAAAAAACGACTATCAGTATCCGAATCCCGCTGATCCATGCCCAGTCATTGATGGAGTAACACTACTAACTATACCTAATTGTGTGGCTGTATTATTTGTTTGTCAGTGTTGTGCTGCAAATTTCATACGTTTTTGTTTTTGCCTTTGATTGCAGAACCAGACACGCACCACGTTTTTCTTCAAGTCCAATTTCTCAGCGATAGCAGCAATTTTCTCACCAGAAGGCCTCGGTTGAACGGCAAAGTACGCTTCCAGGGAACGTTTTTCAGGCGCCGCAATGGAAGTCCTTTTTCTTGAAAAAAGACTCGATATAGATTACTGTTACAAAGTGGTTACTTTCATGCTTTTCTTGCCAATGTAAGGATGTCGTATACAGGGTGCCCACAGGGGGATTCGTTAAAATGCCTTGTAATCCATACTGAAAAGCCCATTTCTCAAGTGAACACAATATTTTATTTAACAAATTAATTACAGCTTTAAGTGATGGTTGAAATAAAATATAAAATATTAGAGGTTTCATAACAGATGGGCACCCTATATACATATGTATGCTTGTATAGATACTTAATAGTTTTATGTATTGGGTTTTAAAACATTTATTAATTTCCTTATAATAGTACAAATATGTTTGTATATTTACTATAGAATAAATAGATTTCTTTCCATTGCTCAAAAAGAATTGCATTTAACATAAAAGTTTTAATAAAGGTTCTAAGAAGAATTACTTACATATACATATGTAATCATAGACTACAAACTACTAAATATGTCTTTTAGCCAAAATGGGTATACAGATTTTTTGCTTACACAAAAAAAAAATAATAATTAATACTAGCAATAGTGAAAGCCGCCTATACAAATTATTCAAATTGGCAGAGTGCGAAAATCTTCCAAAGCTTACACTATTAAATTAATACCTGATAGTTTTCATTGTGATATATACAAGTATATATTCTGGAATGAACTCTATCTGTTCATTTATAATATTTACGTAGAATGTGGTTTTATATTGAATGGCCCTGATAATCACGCTTTTGGTTTTGGGATGCATTTATAATGGTTGATATCAACCGAACACAGATCTTACATGCTTGTTTTTTTAGTACACTATTCCCCAACAAAGTTTAACAACCTTTACCTTTATAGCCTTTTCGCATTGCAGTTAATTGATCAAATTAAAAGACCTTGGCTAAATTAAAGCACTAATTTAGATCAATTTACCATACAAAAACTAATTTTGTTTTACTACATTAATTCTTAATCGAATAAAAATCGAGTTGATACTGGAATGCAACTCTGTGGGTTGTATTTGGCTGTGTTTATTGATTAAATATCAATAAACTGATTAATTTTGATTTGCGTTTCCCTGCAATAACCCAATAAGAAAGGTGTTTTCGCAAATGTTGTAGTATTAAAAAGTTTCGTCTTTTCCTTTTTTATATAAAGCCAGTGCGCAATCGAAATTAAATTGCACGGACTGCAACAGTTGAATATTACAAAACACATTCAAATGCTAATTGTTTTCCATTTTACCAACTTCTTTTAACAAGCAAAAAAAAAGATTATAACAGCGGCTGTGTGAAAGGCAAAAACTGGTGTCTCAATTATAATTTTAATGTACTAAATTAATTTACCTGTGCGAAAAGGCTATTAAGCTATTAATCACTCTACAAATTACTTACGTGGGGACGTGATTGATGACGATCAAAAAATATTTTCTCTATTATACAAAGCAGCTATCGTATTATTAGACCACACCCTCAAAAGACTTGAACTAAAATATCCTACGTTTCGTGTCGTTGGGAGCTATTTGAGTAACGCAAGTGTTGGTATTTTAAGACACTGGATAAAAAGTGAATCTCGTATATTAGTGAAACACTCTTATTTTAGTAAAAGAACTTGTTGAGTGTTTTACGGGATTCTTAATTTCATACAGGTCATATAAGCACCAAAGACGATGAACGCAGGGGATAAATTATGTTATATTATCAATAAATATATCAAAGTAATGTGTTGGATGTTATGATCATGAAACCAAAATGTGCAAAGTGGAATCCGTCAGACCTTACAACCGAAACTAAGAAGTGAAGCCGTTAAATCATAATAATAAACCCGAATGTTTGGACGAATATTTAACAATAGATACAACTTGGTTTTATTATTTAAATCCGGAGTCTATTAGGACTTCCTATAACTTAGTCATCAGACACTTTTTTCTGGTCTATAGAATCGGATTACTTTAAGAAAAATAATAAATAGAATTTTTTCAAAACAGGATTTTCTTCAAAACGATACAAACTTATTAGTTTTCTGTACATATGTATATTTATATGCTATACACTTGATCTTCTTTTTGCACGGGATTTTGTAAAACGTTTTGTTGTACACTTCCTAGTTACATTTTTTACACGGTTTTACTTTTTTGCACATATTAATCATTTTAATTACACTGGGCAGAAAAAGTCAGCGTACAAGGTACCAACAAAAATAAATTGTTGGAAAAAATAACCTTATATATTTTCCATAAATAAAAAAGTTTAAACAAGTAAGGAAGGGCTAAGTTCGGATGTAACCGAACATTTTATACTCGTTTTATATACGTTTTAGATTTCTTTGTGGATCTTGCCGCCTTGTTCTATGTTGATAGATGTTTTCGGTAAAAAGTCAACTATAGGCACATATTCAGTACCACATATTCAGTACCTAGGGGCTTGAACAGTTTTGGTTCAATTAAGAGAATTTTTGGTCATAAGGTGGCATACTTTAAACGCATTATTCACGCAAAGTTTTACCCCGATATAATCATGTTTGCTTGATTTGTATTGAGATGTATCAGATGGAATTTAAAATTATGTTATATGGGAAATAGGCCTGGTTGTAATCCGATTTCGCCCATTTTCGTACTATAACATAGAAATATGACAAGAAAATTATGTACCGAATTTGGTTGAAATCGGTTAAGCAGATCCCAAGATATGGGCGGTCCCGCCCCCTTATAAGTTTTATGTACATATCTCCTATACCACGGGAGCTATAATAAGAAAATTCACTGGGAACAAAGGTTTTTAGCATCTATATCGACGGTGTGAAAATGGGTGAAATCGGGTGACAACCCCTCCCACTCCCCATATAACGGTACTGTTAAAAACTACTAAAAGCGCGATAAATCAAGCACTAAACAAGTCAGAGATATTAAATTTTATCTCTAGGATGGTATAAGATGACTCTATAGGAACCGCGTTCGTAATTAGGCAGTAGGCGTGGCACCGCCCACTTTAAGGTGAAACCCATGATTATGTCGGCGTTAAACTTTGCGTGAATAATACGTTTAAAATATGCCACCTTGTGACCAAAAATTCTCTAAATTGAACCAAAACTGTTCAAGCCCCTAGGTACTGAATATGTGGACCCCAGTGCTTATAGTTGACTTTTTACCGAAAATATCGGTCAACATAGAACAAAGCGGCGGCAAGATTTACAAAGAAATCTAAAACGAGTATACCATTTGACTTTGTGAGAGTATAAAATGTTCGGTTACATCCGAACTTAGCCCTTCCTTACTTGTTTGTTTATGTGTTTTTTTGCAGTGCCTATAAAACTGTTGGCTGATTTCTCAATACTATTCAGTTTCAGTGCCACGGAAAAAAGGCACACGTGAAGCTTATAAAAGCGTTATACAACAAGGGTAATGGGAAACTGTTATCAATTTTTACATTGTCATCGGTCCTTGACACGTGTGCAAAGTTTCAAGTTGATCAGAGTCCGGTAAAAATTGAGCTCTCAGATTCCATTACATATATGTATACATACATACAAACCAAGCTAATATAGAAGCGTGTTAAAAAATGTATTTGATATTCTTTAAATAACATTCAATAAATAATTTTATGGAAATAAAAGTGATTAAATAGTCGACAGTAACATATTAACAAAACAAAACATAGGGACGAATAGAAAATTCATTAGAAAAAGGTACATAAGTCGAATAAAGTTATTCTTCCTACGAGTTCTTCTCAAAATTCAATAGGAAGTTGGATATCCCCAACATTTTAACATTTCCGCTTTGGATTTTAAGGAATGTGAGCCTATTTCTCGTGCGGCAGATCCTTGAGCATATTCTTTGAGGTAATTGTGTGTTGGCGGATTTTACGTAGAAGTGAATCTCATGAGCGCTATTTAGCATTCTGGTGGTGTTTGAAGCTGCTTAGGAATGTTGTAGAGTAACTAAAGCTTAACTATGTCTGCTGTATGCTTCGGGTCATTATACTGTAGAAAATAGGAGTCACTTCCAAGACCCAGTTCTACCGCTCTTTGCTTCAAATTTATTTTTAAAATATTAAGGTATGCATATTTAACCATGGTGGTGTGCCCGTTTTTCGTCATAAAATCTTACGCCCCTTGATTCCAAAGACGCAAAACATGCTCTCATCGGGAATTTAAGTGCTCTTTGACGACAACATTATGCACATACCTATTGACTGGCGATATGACCCGGTTCTTGTGTGCGACTTGACCATAAAAGCCTGTTTATTTTTTAATTTTGCGAATGGTGTCAGTGCAGAGGGATTTCCTAAAAAATTTCTTAACATTTTGGATGCAGGTTTTTCTTCACACTTTGCAAAACGTTATGAGTTTCACGTGCCGAGATCAAAACGTCAGTATGTTTGTACTTTTTTTATTACGCTTTGTATAAAAGAAAGTCTTCTCCCAACAATTCGACCGATTTCAGGGTCGTAAAGTTTGACCATTATTTCGCTTTCAGAAAGGCTTTTTTCTTTTAGGCGAGATTCGACATTTTTAATTTAATAACAAAATTCAGACTTTTTCTGCGTTGCCAAATTACTTTTCTTTGTAAATTTATCTATAAAACTATGTTGTCAGATTTGAATTGCTTTAAATGCTATGGGATTATGCAATAGACTAGTAATAGAGCACTTAATATGATAATGCTCTAAAAATTTTTATATAAAAGATATTTTTTAACAAAAAAAAACAAGATATTAGTGTATGCAGACTTTTTATGACAAGTGTATATACTTTTTTTTGCAATAAAACCAAATTTCACACATATATACAGCTATGCTTCATTTTAGAACATGTTATCGTATCGGGGTGTGTCAAAACAAAACACAGCGACATGGCGGCCAAGCGATATAAATTAAATTTAAATGAAAAAATAAAAATTTTAGATGATTTGAAAGCCTTCGAAAGGGTTGCACCATTTTTAAACGTAATCAAATAAATGAAGCAACCATTCGCACTATCAGAAAAAATGAAAGCGCAATAAGAAAGGCGGTTTCAGCCGCCAGTTGAAGCCTTCTCTTGCTTACAAAAATCTTAACCCTAGGGCTTTAAAAGGTCAGTTTGAATGTTTGGTTTTAAACACTGGTATGTATTTTAATTCGATAATTCGTTCATCAGGTATCAACAAAACCAAGTTTCCGCTGCATTGGATTACAAATAAAAAGGTTCGGGTCACAGCTTCTCTTTTCAAGGACTGGTTCTTAAATTATTTTGTGCCTGACGTGCGAGAGTATCTGCGTTCAAAACAACTTGACTTCAAAGTTTTGCTGCTCATCGACAACGCTCCTGGTCATCCAAATATTCTTCATGAAAATGTGATGTTAACGTTTCTTCCTCTAAATACGACGTCATTAATGACAACACTGTACGAATATATAGAATTACATGTAAAATTTGATTTTTTTTTAACAGGTTTTTCTTTTTTTGCACAGGTTAAAATAGGTCCTAATAGGGAGTTTTATATGAAAATTTGATGTTTTTACACAGTTTTTTTTTTTGTTTGCACGAGTAATTTACTGTCCCAGTTAACCGTGCAAAAAGAATCAAGTGTATAATGAATATATTGCGCTGAAACCGTTTGCCAAAATAAAAAAATATTTGTAGGGAGATTTCTGTACTGTTATATTCACTTATTCGATTTAATACCCCCATTCAAACGTATGTACATTTATGGAAATAACATACAAGAAACTTAGTGTACGCGTGACTATTTGGCGTTAAGGCACTAACCTAATGTACAGAGTTGTTGATTTATATTTCATGTCAGTAAGAATGTAATGTTTCCATTAACCAAAACGTTGTCTACCTTTTCTTTTCACCAGCTGGAAGTACACTGGGGGCGTCTGGATCCCTTCGTTTGTTTTTCGCTTGCGCCTCCGCTTCTTCCAACCACGCCTGTAGGATTGGTTTCAATGCAATCATATTGTTGTGTGACAATGTAAGACTTTCGAATCGGCAAATTGTACTTTGAGAAAGCGCCCCAACTCCCGGTAATTTTAGATTTGCTAAAGCTTTACCTACATCAGCCTGCGTAACGCCTACAGCAAAATAGGGTTGAGTTGATGTTAGCAGCAGAATTTAAGCAGCCATTACCTAACTTTATTCGTCGTTGTTTAAATCTTTCTGCGAATGCTTCTAATTCCCTAGGATCCGTGTCAGTGTCGGGATGAAGTCCAGCCGCAGCCACCGCTGCAGATATAACAGGATGATGTACTGCAGAATGTCCATGATCTAAAAATATAAAACTTAAAGTTGATACGTCGAACTTATAAATTCACGAATTACTTGTAGAATGCCCACTTAAAGCGCCAGGGTGGTGATGACTCATCATATGGTTCATACTATGATACGATCCATGTAAATGCTGATGGGTCGGTGTTAATGATGTGTCTGACATGGGCGCTAACGTCGTCATTGGCCCCGTTGGGTCCAACATATCCAACTGATCCATCGTATGATGCATCTGAAAAAGTAAAATTATTTATTCACACAAATATCAACATTAATAGCTATTTTTAAATGTTAAATTCTTTTACAATATTTAAACGTTAATGAAATCAATATCCTAAAAACGGACGAAATATATTAATATATTAATTTTTAACTGTCGGATAAGTCGGCATAATGTATTATTTAGCGTACTATGTAGTTACATATGTACATTTTCTGTTTTTCCTAAATGTGTGGACAGTGCCAGTTTTTGCTAGCTTACCATAGTTTTAGATAAGTCCAAGTTTATTTAACATATGGGCTGAAAAGTAGCGGGTCTAACAAAGAAAACAAGTTTTTTTTTTGTTCAAAATTGGCTTTATTCATCAATATAATCTCCATCAAGAGCAACACAATCATTCCCATGTTGCTTTAACATTACAATACCACTTTTGTAGAACGATTTGTCTTTTGCCTCAGTTTCAGTAATAACCTCTTCATTCGAGCGAAATTTTTTACCGGCGAGGATATTTTTGAGGTCTGCCAATAGTCGCTGGGCTGAGCCAAATGTGGAGAATAAGGTGGATGCGGCAGTAATTCAAAATGCAATTGATGCATTTTTGTCATTATTTTGATTGACTTGAGACACAGTGCGTTATCTTGATGAAACAAAACTTTTTTCTTTGTCTTATGCGGCCGGTTTTTTACAGTTTCGGATTTCAAACGTTCCAATAACGGTATATTGATGGTTTTCCCCTTCTCAAGACAGTCGATGAATATGGACGAACACTGTGTTTTGTATCATGGGTGTCTCGACGACCATAATCTCCATAACACTTTTCAAACAATTGCTTCGCTTGAACGGTATTTTTCCCATCAAGAAGCGGTGTAAAATTAAAACACGAAACTGTTTATCATTAATTGTTTTTTAAACAAAAAAAGTAGTGTCACTCTTAGCACAATAACTCGCAAACTAATGAATAGGATGTCATGAAATTTTAACAGCTATCTTTTGAAGGTTAGTACTATAATATAAAACTAGCGTCATCTATGTGTGACGCCCAAAACATAAATGTACATAAAAAGCTATAAATTCCGTTATAACGTTAAATTAGAATTAGAAATATTTCGATAGTTGAAGAATATCTTCTTAAAAGGAAATTCCAATTAACTGTAATGGAATCTCCTTTTTTCCCCTCCACTTCAACATCGCGTAACACAGTGAAATTTAATTTTTTAGATATAGAGTTATATATAAACTAGCTGACCCGGCAAACGTTGTTTTGTCATATATTGTACATACGTTATTTTTAGGAAACATTTGTTGAGGAAATGTTATTAAAAATAACCAACATTATAATGTGTGAGATACGTATTTATAATTGAAAGAGGAATGAAGAGTTGTAGACAATTAACACTAAACGTACCGGTGTTTTTCTATGTCTAATCTTACCATAGGGGGTCATTTTACCCCTTATGAAATAAACAGATTTTTTGGTAAAAACTACTTTCTTTATTCAAATTTTAAATTAAATGTCATTGTTATAAAAATGCAACCGACTCCTTCTCTCTGAAAGTAAGTGATGGTTTTCCGATTGCCGGCTCTTCTCAGATTCGCTGCCAAAAAGTTCCATCATCAGCCGTGACTGTGTCTTCAAAATTCTGTTCACTATCACTTTCAGAATCCGAGAAAAATCTTTAGCGCCTCTGTTTCAAAAAACTTTCGCCTGGATCATCCTTAGAAATTAAATCGTAATCAACTGAATTCACTTCACTTATTTGTCGAATTCTTTCCAACTCTCTCAGTGACCGTGCTAACATTTTCAGGGTTGCAGCGAAATACAAATCCAATCGAATGTAACAGAAATAGTCAAAATGCAACTAAAACTGTCGTATATTGCAACTGCTTGAACTTTATTTCTTGTATGCACTGATCTTTACTCTCCGACTCTCAATATACGACTGCATTTGTTTAGCTACACGGAACACATTGGGGAAGAAGTGATGGGTTGTTTATGCGTTGGTGGGTCACTCAAGTGCTTACGCCTGGAAGAGTCACTTGAGAAGCGTATCTGAATTTAGAACTAAGGTTCTACATGTAATTGAAAGACTACACAATGAAGAATTCTACATTATAGTCGGAAAACTTCTAAAAAATAAAAACTTCAAATGACCCTCCGTGGTACGTGAGGTAAAAGAATTTTTGTCGGTAAAAAAATAAGCTACGATAAAAACGGAAAGTGGGAAATTGAATAATCGAATGATATAAGAATTTACAGAAAGTCAAATGATCGACAGAAATAATAATATATGAACGAATTTATAGTAAATTTTCAAAAGGGGTTATTTGACTGCGCTTGGTACGTTGGTGTTAAAGTATACTTTTTTTAAATTAATAAATTATTCTTTAATAAAGTACAATAACAAATATCTATTAAATTACAATTATTGAAAGCAATCGAAAGACATACATACATATATCGAAATAGTTCTACTAGTAAAATTAAAAATAAACAAAGATTAATTTTCTAACGTATTGGATTGTACAATATTTTTGGTTCATCCGTCTTTAGCAAATGCAAACAAATTGGAAGGTTTGCCCACGCGAGAACATGCCCCATAAGGTTTTCCGAGGGAAAAGTATGATATACTCAAATCTAAGCTACAAAAACCAAAGTTTGGTTTTGTGACTTATAGATCGGTATTGCGAATGCTAATATAATTAGAAATTGAGTACATTTCAATTGAATGAAGCAAGTCTGTAAGAATAATTAGGATTGCTGACAGCAATGGATTTTAGCCTCGGAACTTGCCATTCAAACTGGTGACTTCAATAATGTGTTTCATAAATTTTTGAATGACTAATCTTGTGCCATTCCAAAGCCGTGGTGGGTTAATTTAAGAAGCAAAATAACCGGAAACTCATTATTCAGTTGTAAGTGGTGCGGTGGCATACCCAGTACAATCAATATATTCAAAAACTGAATTGAATAATTCACAGCTTTGTTGGTTGGATTTGTATGATACCTAGTTCCGTGGCAACAACTGTTGTATCATTGAATTTAATCCATTGACGTCCCTATTTCTTGCTGCCAAAATTACCCTTTCAGCCACTTTTATATTTTGTGTGTACATCAGGAAATATATTGTCGATGAGAGTATTTTGTGAGTTGATGATTGGGAAACCCGTCGGTAATTTTATGCATGCAGTAGTTGTACAGCGACTTCTCTGTAGCTAATATCTAACAGTTGTTTGAGAAATTTTCTACGGATGGATCTTGAAGCGTAAGAATGAACATGTTTACTGTCATCAGTAAGGTGGCAACACTTCAAGCTCTAAAGCTGTAATTTTTTGACTGTGAACTTTTGTGTTTTTATTTTACGAAATTCTTCAAGTTTAATTGATTTTTTTTACTGATTTAATACCAATTTTTAGTCATTTAACTCTGAGATGCAAGATAATTATTAAATGTTCTTAAGTTTTGTGCATTATTAAAAAGTTTAAACTTTCGAATTTTTGGTGCCAAGTCAGCTTTTTGTTTTATTTCATTCTATTTTCTCTCTTTATTTATCTCATTTACTTCTTTATTCACATCTGTGTTGCGTGTAGCTTTTTATTTGTTCCAGTGCATCTAAAACTGCTCGCTATATTGCTTTTTCAAACTGTCTTGGTTTTGAACTTTGATTAAAAAAAAAAAATTGCTATTACTTTTGCGTTTGTTCTTAATTGAATTTATTATTATTATTATTTTATTAACACACTAATTTATTATATATCTATCAAATTTTGTTCTACTTACTATTTTATTTGATCTTCATTCTTGTTGTTTATTATGTCTTGTAACTTCCCCAATTGTAACATTAAAGGCGAGTCAGATCGCTACGTTTCATGCTGGCTTTGTGATGGGCTTGCCCATATTAAATGTGCTGGACTGACAGGTAGAATCTTAGATTATATTCTCGACTGTAAGGGATTGTGTTGGTCCTGTTTAAATTGTAGATCTATTGAAATCGATCTATTTAAAGTTTATAGGGAGACACGCAATGGCTTTAACGAAATCGGTCGAAATCTTGTAACCCTCACTGTAAAATTTAGGCATTTTGAAAAATTGTTCAAATCTTTTAAGTGCCTGAATGATTTTCACGAATCCTCTAAACCTGCTGCTAAGCGTAAACGTCCTTCCGATGAAGTAACATTTAGTTCTTCTGTACAGAAAAGAACGTCTCCTCCTATCTTATATACCACCCCATTCGGTTACCCTCCTCCCAACGATTACCTTCCTCCCGCCCAACCGACGTGAGGGGCGCAATCCTCATACGTGCGGAATTAGCCGAGTCAGAAAAGGCAAGAGAGTTTTTTAAGTGTTGAGATATAAAACTGCTCAGCTACAGAAACAAAAATTTCAACAGTTAAGATTTATAGTTACAATATAATAAATTGTTACACTTTCATTCATTAAGAGAAAACTAAAGTTTTTTTAATTTTGAAAAGTGAGTCAGATAAGTCAAATGTGCTGGAATGAGAATTAAAATCATGACATATACGGCGGAATGGCTCGTTTAGTTCAAAATTTGATCTACAGGATTTTAACAGTAAAGTTTTAGAAAGTGTAGGTAGATTACTAAGTTTTAAACGACTAGTGTATGGAGGTAGACTTACCCTAGAATCTCATCGGAAATGAGCTAAGGCGAAAAGTAAAAATTGTTTTTGAACAGACCCTAACTTGTCAGAATGGATTTGGTAGTTAGGGTTCCATACAACAGAGCCATATTCCAATATAGGTCTAACCAAAGTTGTATAAAGTGCTTTAGTAATATACGGATCTCTAAATTCTTTAGACCAACGTTTAACAAAACTGAGGACAGCTTTTGCTTTCAAGACCATGGTGTCAATATGAAGACAAAAATTAAGCTTAGGGTCCATATTAACTCCCAAATCAACGTAGTTAAAAACTTGTTCCAGAATATGGTGTTTTATTACATAAGAAGAGGGGTGCACAGATCTACAGGAAAAGCACATCGTCTTACATTTAT